GATCATATTAGTATAAAGGCAAACATATACATGATGCATAAAAGGGAAAAGGTACCAATCAACATTCAAAAAGCCAGGGAAGAAATTTCTGTCATGGGACCCTTAAGAGATACTTGCACTGGTACTAATACAGGCCCTGTCTATAGGAAGGACAACTGGCCTGGTATCAAGTTCAATGCTGCATAATCAGGATTTCAATCGTCTCCCTGCTTGAGAGTAAGGCTGTTCAGGACTCTCGCCTTAGCTACAGCGGATCTCCCAGCAGTTCAGTCTAACTAGATACTCTACAGATAAATTTTTTTTAAACATTTTATTAGGGGCTCATACAACTGTTATAGCAATCCATACACACATCAATTGTGTACAGCGCATTTGTACATCATTCTCAAAACATTTTCTCTCCATTTAAACCCCCGACATTAGGTCCTCATTTTTCCCCTCTCTCCCCGCTCCACCCTCCTTCATGAACCCTTGACAGTTTATAAATGGGTATTTTGTCATATCTTGCCCTGTCTGATGGCTCCCTTCACCCACTTTTCGGTTGTCTGTCCCCCAGGGAGGAGGTCACATATAGTTCCTTGTATCTACAGATGAATTTTGGGCTCCCACCATCCTCCATAGTCTTTTCCAAATTGAGTGTTCATAATTTTAGTTCTGATACTTTTCCCTTAATCATATTTGAATTTTGTAATTGTCATCTTTGGATCATACAAACTGGTATGTTCTTCTGTGTGGACTTACTTGGCTCCTTGCTTACAGGGCCATGATGTAAAAACTAAATATTCTTAAGTTGGACCTAGTATTTAGTGCGAACCAATAATAGGTCTATACACTGCTGAAGGTGATGTATATAACCCTTTAACCCTTTCCATAATGGTTCTACAGTCTTTAATTTACACCATGTCAAACTGGCAGATTGAGTATCCTTAAGGACTCTATTTTAAATGTTCTTTGAGTTTCAAGAACAAAAAAAGCCTGAAGGGACAATATCAGGACTGTTGGCTAGATGCATAAGACTTTCAACAAATTTCTCATAGGACAGCCGCCCCCCCCCAAAAGAATGAGCAGGTGCTCTGTTGTGATATATATAGATAGATAGATAGATAGATAGATAGATAGATAGATAGATAGATAGATATAGATATATATATATTGAGATATATATATTGAGATATATATACATATCTCAAAACAATTTTTTGGTCTTTCCCCAAACGAAAACAGCCTTCTTAACCTCCTACACTAAACTCTCAGATTTGAATTTAAATTACTCTTAAGAAACAACTGTTATAATTGGACATTTACTTTTTAGAGCACCATCAAAAGGCTGACAGGTATATGACTTGATATATTTTGTCTACAAACACCCACTAATCACAAAGACACATTTCAGCATTTTATTTGGAATAAACCAGTGCATGTATGCATGTGAATTTTAGTAGCAATACTTTTTGACTAACCCTCATAGTCCACACAATCTATGCATACTGATATTTTTGAATACAGGGACAGGAATCTCAAGGAATGAAGAAAGGACAAATAATAAATTAATGACTGAAGGAAGGAAAGAAAGACAGTGGGTAGGAGGAAAAGAAAGGGGTGAAAGAAAGTAAAGGGGGAAAAAATAACCAAAAAAAGATAATGCACCTCCATTGGAAGTTGTTATGTTGTTAGGCTCCACGAAGTCAGTTCAATTCATAGCATTCCTGTGCACAGCACAAACCACATTGCCCTCTTCTGCCCATCCACACAATTATTGCTATTTGAACTTGTTGCAAGAACTTTGTCAATTCATCTTGTTGAGGCTCCTCCCCTTTCATAATGGCCTATCTTTATTAAGCACAATATCCTTCACCAGGGACTAGTTCCTTCGGATAACAGGACCAAATGTAAGATAAAGTCTTGCTACCATCACTTTTGAGGAGCATTCTGACCGTTCTTCTAAGACCTATTTGGTCAATGCAATATGTTGTTTGGCTTCTTGACTGCTGCTTCTGTGAGTGCTAATTGTGGATCAAAGGAGAAAGAAATTCTTCAGTATGTTCTTAGTTTGTGTCACATTGCTTATTGGTCAAGTTGTGAATATTAAATAAATAAAAGGGAACCCAAACTGAAAAGTTACCTGTATTGGAATTTGTATGTTGCCCAAATCCATTTTTTTTTCCAGCTCAGTGCACCTATTCTTCTGTGGATGGATGCTAATAGAAAATATGTATCCCCTGCTAAGGAAAATTGCCCTTGAGCCAGAGGAAGCCAGAGAAGTCACAAACTCCACACCCCCACATACCCCCTGCTAGTAACTATCTGCTCAGAGAACTCTGTTCCAGTTTCCTCGTTTGGATAAGGTCCAAGCTAGACTTTAGATGAAAGATTATATCCATCTTCTTATCTGTCTAAAACTATCCTACTTCCATCCATTCCCCCTCCTTTCTCTCAGAGCACTTTAGAAATTACATGAATCCAAAATACATTTATCAGGATTTGCTTCTTGGGAAGTTGAACTAAGACCTTATTTGATATATTTAAATATATTAGGAGAGTTTTTAATCTCTGGCAGTTTGGGGATGGGTTCTTAGGAACACAATAAATATTTTAAAAAGGAGTATGACCAGAGGCGTCCATAGAAGCAAAGAGGATAAGACTTTGTGTTACACATTGTCAGAAGAGACCAGTCCCTGGAGGACAGCATCATTCTTGTTAAGGTGGAGGACCCTGCGGCAAAAGACAGAAAAGTCCTCAATGAGATAGGTTGACCTAGAAGCTGAAGCAAGGGGCTCAGGAATGGAGTGGGTGTTAGGATGACACAGGACCAAGCAGCATTTTTTTCGGTTGTGCATGGGGTAGGGGGATGGAAAGATAAATGGCTCAGTGAGCCTTGCTTTTCTAGCTCTCCTGTCTCTTGCTTTCTGATGGTTGGACCAGGGTGCAGCTGCCTTAGCCAGTTCCCTGCTTCAGCTGGCAAGGCTCACTTCCTGTAAGACATCCCTGAGGAAAGCCCCAGGGATCTACCCTGATGCAGCCGTGGGTGCTGGAGCAACCTCCTGGAGACCCCTGCCAGTGCTGAGATGCTTACACCTTCACTGACTCAGCTTTCCTCCTGCAGTCGGCATCATTGCATCTGTTTTGTGAGATGGAGGAGGACTGTGTATTGGTGTCAGACATATAGGCTCATGTTGGACTTGTGGGCTTGGGCAGCACTGGGTTGAGATGTTTTCTTGATGTGCACTTAACATTCATGCAAACTCTTTCTTATACATATGAACTTCAGTGGATTTGTTTCTCTAATGTCCCCAGACTAACACAGTCGCTGTAGGTCCAAACCCACTCCCTTGCACCTAACAACAACAATAACTTCTCAGGAAACAAAAGCATGTAGACTAGAAAATATAATATAATATTAATATTATCATATTGTACTAGAATAAACACAAACCCACCATATAGCTAAATATATGATAAAAGATTTATCATATATGATAATAGAAAAAATGTCACAGCTTCATTATTGAGGGTGGGAAAATGAAGGAAACAACTGTTTGTTTCTCAAATGAATAAGTCAAACAATCACATCTAAAACTAAACTAAACTAAAATAAATGAGAGTTTCCATATTGTTGCATAAAATGTGTCCACATAAATAAGGCGCATGCCCATATGATATCCATAATATCCATAATGTTGGTAGAAAACTGATAGGCATGAGGATGAGTGACTTAGAAATGCCACATCATGCACACCACATTTATATAAAGATATGGTATTAAATATAGAAATTTATATGTATCAGAAATATTAAAATATTTGATATTAAAAGGTTTGAAAATGGCCTTCTTAGGAGAACAAAACTGGTGAGATAAAGTAATTTTCCTTTCAGTTTTAAGTCTTAAAGAATTGGTTGATTTTTTTAACGTCACCCTTATATTTATTTGCTAACATATAGTCATGTTCAGCATTTATCTTATGAAACAGTACATATTACTTTCAGAAAATTCAGTGAAGTACAAGGAATATCATCATTTCCACTGTCCAATTAGAGACAATTATTTTCAACATTTTTCATGGGTCTGCTCAGTATTTTTCCTGTTTTCTACTTCATTTTTTATGGTTTACAATTTTGTAGATGTAATTGTCTGTTGTTTTATATTATGCCATATGCATTTGCTGATATTACTACTATCTTTTGCTAGCAATGGTTTTATATTTCATCATATAAATTTTATAACTTTTCCCCCACTTTTTGTAATTTACAATAGCTTTTTACTTTTCCATACTAAATAATGTTGAATGCACATCTATGAGCATGCATTTTCAACATTTCTGATTACGCTCCATAATTTTTTATGTTCAGGAATTATTTTATTTTTATCCTCAAATTTAACAATTTGTAAGTTGCTGTCTCACCTGACATCATTCCAACCAAAATTTGCCCTAATAAAACAATTTAGCAGCACTCTAGGTTTCAGTATAATGAGATGTTACCTTTGTAAATGATTTTCCAGGTCTTTGGTTTCAGGAGTTCGCCATCTCCCTCGGGGACATGTTTCACTTTCTGGTGCATCTTCCGGCTCTCCCCAGTGAACACGGAAGCAAATAAGTCATTCATTGTTCTTGCTGCATTTGCTTCTTCTGTCATCGAATTCATTTCAATCTCTCTCAAGAGACTTATAATCTCCTTCCCTGTCTTCTCAATTCACATATATTTATGAAACTGTCCATTTTTCTCACAAAATATGAATTCTTCTTGAAGGTCTACTTATGATTTATTTTATACCTTTATTCTGCATCGGTAATTTAGACTTAGATTTCTTATCTTCTATATTTTCATTTTATGCAATATTACCTTTTTCCTAGGTAGTGAATATATTTATTTTTTTAACTAATTTTCATTAGCAAAGTTGATATTGCTTTAACTACTAATTAGATCATAGTAAAAGTATGATGAGTCTAAGCTATATATTAAGCACTTAGTGGGATTTTTTTCTTCTTTTTAATCTGTCTCATTTTACTATGGTAAGCTTCACAGAATTATGGGTACTCCTGGGCCAGGAACTGTGATAAACTTCTCTGTGTTGTTTCAATTTAAGGATGTGCTGCCTAAAAAGCAGCTTTATTAGGTCTTTCAAATAAATATCTCATTTTGTCTTTACTAAGTCCCTTATAAATTAGGCATTATACTTTTACATAAAAATTCAAGTAAAATTTTTCTTGGTATCTCCTGTTTGGGCTACTTTTTTATCTGTTTTTCTCACAGGCTAAACTAAATTGTTGTAGAGATGGTGGTTAAAGAGCTTAGCTGCTGTAGGTTAGAGTTTATGTCAACTTGTTGCACTGTGTGAAGGTAGGTGTGGAGGCCAACCCACCAATGAGGAGAAAGCCCTATGATACCTGCCTGGAGGTGCAGCTGTTTTTATGAGACACTGACAGCAAGTCATCTCTTGCTCACCCCTTTTTGCCCAGCTGCTGGCTCGAGGGTTGGACCCCAGTGTGGCCTCGTGGCTGTGGGATCTGCAGAACCCTGCCATTTTCCTGCCAAGGACTCATGAGACTCCGTTCCTAGCACCTTGTGATCACTCCACGTCCATTCCACCTTCTTGCTTCAACAGCTGTCACCTGTATAAGTCTGGAGGTAGTACTGTCTAGCATCTGAACCACTGGCTTGATTTTGGCTGGGCTGGGATGCTTCCTTGGTATTATTTTCTTTCCTGAAATAAAGTATATATACCCTGATTTTGTTAATACAGAAAATGCGGCCTAACACAGCTACAGTTATTGATAACTTTGAAAATAACTAGAGTTTGACTTCTTAGGAAGTAAATGAATTAAGCTAAAGCAATGGACTTGAACACACCAGGGATCACAGAGATGACACAGCACTAGGCATAAGGTTACCAAGAACTGGAGACAACTGTACATTAATTAAGTACCACCAAACAAAACCAAGCACACTATCCTGAAGTCAATTCCAAGTCATAGTGACCCTATAAGATAGAGTAGAACTTCCTCATAGCTTTCTCAAGGCTGTAAATCCTTATGAAAGCAAATGTTCATATCTTTCTTTCACACAGTGGCTGGTATGTTTGAACCATCAAATTTTAAGTTCACAGCCTAACTCTTTAACCACTGAACCACCAAAATTTCTATTACCATGACAACAGCTATAGCTTTAGGGGAATTTTTAAAGTAGATTCATGAAAAAGCACACCAGCCTGTGTGACCATGAGCTGTGGAAAGGATCAGGAATCAAGAATCAAAGAACAAAAAATCATATCATTGTAAATGAGGGTGAGTGCAGAGTGGAGACTCAAAGCCCATCGGTAGGCAACTGGACACCTCCTTACTGAAGGGTTGCGGGGAGGAGACGAGCCAGTCAGGATGCAGGGTAGCAACGATGAAATATATAACTTTCCTCTAGTTCTTAAATGCTTCCTCCTCCACACTATCATGATCCCAATTCTACCTTACAAATCTGGCTAGACCAGAGGATGTACATTGGTACAGATAGCAACTGGAAACACAGGCAATCGAGGACAGAGGACACCTTCAGGACCAGTGGTGAGAGTGGCAATACCTGAAGGGTGGAGGGGATGTGGGGTGGGAAGGGGGAACCAATTATAAGAATCTACGTATGGCCTCCTCCCCGCGGGATGGACAGCAGAGAAGAGGGTGGGGGGAGATGTCAGACAGTGTAAGATATGGCAAAATAATAATAATCTATGAATTATGAAGGGTTCAAGAGGGAGGGGAGAATGGGGAGGGAAGGGGGGAAATGAGGATTCGATATTAAGGGCGTAAGTAAAAGGCAAATGTTTTGAGAATGATGAGAGCAACAAATGTACATATGTGCTTGACACAATGGATGTATGTATGGATTGTGATAAGAATTGTATGAGCCCCCAATAAAATGATTTTTTTAAAGTAAATTCATAAATACTCCTAATACTGGGTTAGAGAGTTATTATAAGACAGACTCATTGAACATCATGTTTTGTACAAGCAATCTATTTACACATGCCATGTGCATTTAATATTTCTAAGAAATGCTATTCTAGGAGATTTCAAAAAGGTAATACACAAATAGAATTTTAAAATAATTAAATATTTCCATCAACTTTTTGAAGCCCCCAGTACATTTAATCATTTTTTAATCTATACTTTCCTTTGTTTCATACTAGGGAGGTACTATTTCTTGAGAGATTTGTCATCATGATATTCAATCTAATATAAAGGACCATACTCTAAGTAATTCCTTATCACTGCTGTCACCTGTTAGTATTAAGATATGAGTCAACCATGGTAGAGCAGAGTGGCACGCTTGATCTAGGATCATATATAATAATATTATACGGAAGCCCTAAACTTGCACTTTGTTAGAAGTGAAAGGAAAATGATTTATTGTGTAAAAAGCTTCATCGCGCAGGATGTATCACAGTGCTCAAGCAGAGTACAATAACATTCCGAATTGAAAAGGGCCGGTGAGGTTTGTATCAGGTTGAGTGAGCAAAGCCTGACATAGTCAGAGACAGGAAGGGATAAGAAATTACAAGGAAAATCATTAAGCTATCAACCTATTAACTTTGCTGATTCTCTTTCCGAACCTCATGCAACCTGGTGGAACAAGGCATTTTTATTAGGCTAAGCTGCATGAACCTCTCTTTTTCCCCCAAGATGCTTAATTCATGTATTTATTTTAGTTTTCTAAAATAAAATGTTATTTTGTTTTCCGTGAAAATTTACACAGCAAATTAGCTGTGTAATAATTTAATTTAATATTTTAATTAATTTAATATTTTAATAATTTTGATAATCATTTAATAATTTCCAATTATGTGGATTTTAGTCTCCTTAATCCATACCGAAGGTTGCAATTCTTGATCTTCATCAGCAAGCGTACCAAGTCCTCACTTTCAGCCAGTACGCTTGTGTTCTCTGCCTAGGACAGGTGTTAAAAAGCTTTCTTCCAATCTTCATGCCGCATTCTTTTTCATATAATCCAGCCTAATGATTTCTTCAGCATACAAGTTGAATAAGCATGGTGAAAGGCTATACCCCTGTCACTCACCTTTCCTGACTATAAAATGTACATTATTATTGTTCTGTTCCAACAACTGTCTCTTGATCCAGGGACAAGTTCCACATGAGAAACATGAAGTATTCATAGTTTGTTACTATCCACACAGTGGAATATCTTGGCATAGTCAATAAAAGACAAGGAAACATCTTTGAGTTATTTATCTGCTTTCAGTGAAAACCCATTTGACATCAGCAATGATATCCCTTGTTCCATGCCCTCTCCTGAATCCAACCTGAACCTCTGGCAGCTCCCTGTCTATGTACTGCTGCAACCATTTTTGCAGTATCTACAGCAAAATTTCACTTGCATGTGATTCATTGCATTTGTTCTATAATTGGAGCATTCTATTAGGTCACCTTTCTTTGGAATGGGTACAAATATGGATCTCTTCCGGTCAGTTGGCCAAGTAGCTGTCTTCCAAATTCCTTGGCATAGATGAGTAACTGCTTCCAAAGCTTCATCAGCAGGTTGAATCATTTCCATTAGTATTCTATCAATTCCTGAAGCTTTGTTTTTGGCTATTGCCTTCAGTGCATCTGGAAATTCTTCCCTCAGTGCCACTGGTTCCTGTTCATATGCTACCTCCTAAAATGTTGGAATGTTGACTAGCTCTTTCTGGTACAGTGACTCTGTATTCTTTCCATCTTCTTTTGCTACGGCCTATATCATTGAATAGTCTGTCATATGACCTTTCAATATTACAACTCAAGGCTTGCTTTTTTTCTTGACTTCTTTCAGTTTAATACACTAATCACGTTCTTCCTTTTTGATTTTCTAACTCTAGGTCTTTGCACATTTCAGGGTAGCATTTTATTTTGTCTTTTTGAGCTGCTCTCTGCAATTTTCTATTCAGCTTTTTGACTCATAATTGCTTCCTTTTCTTTAGCTACTCTAAGAATAAGCTTCAGTTTCTTCTGACATCTAGTTTCATCTTTTTTTCCAAATGACCTTTTGCTTTTTATTGCATGATGGTCTTGATGTCCTCCTACAGCTCAAGTCTTAAGTTAATACTGTGAAGTATGTTAAATCTGTTCTCGAGACAGTCTCTAAATTCATGTGGGCTACACTCAATGTCATATTTTGTCTCCCTTAAACTTGTTTTAACTTCCTCAGTTTTATCTTGAACTTATATATAAGCAATTGATGGTCTATTCTACAGTCAGCCAGTGGACTGGTTTAGCTAATATTGAGCTTCTCCATCTCTCTTTCCACAGATGTAGTCAATTTTATTTATGGATATTCCATCTGGGGAAATTCATGTGTACAGTAACCTTTGCGCTGTTGCAAAAAGATAGTTGCTCTGCACAAGTCATGGGTTTTGCAAAATTCTATCATATAATCTCCAGTTACATTTCTATCACCAAGAATGTATTTTTCAACTAGTGTTCCTTCCTCTAACGGTTTGTAGGAGCCATCATGTATAGAGTCATAATAGAGTCATCCTTCAGGACTATAGCTGAACTCACCCCAGTGGCAAAAATGTCAGTCAAACAGCAGAGAGATCTACAAGAGTAATAAGAGCATTAGTGAGTAAAAAACCATTTAAGATGAAATGGGTAGCATTTTCCCAGGGGCAAAGTTCAGCAGTTTTAGTTAAGGAGGAGGAAAGGAGACCGGACATGCAGGGAGGGAGTGGGATAAGTGAGCGTACACTGAAGCAATTACAGGGAGTTACATGAGTCAAAATGTGTCTGTATTGCTGAATGTAAAGATGATCTGTTATGTAAACCTTCATCTATTTCATAATTTTAACAATATTAAATTGGGGATAAGTTAATTAGAAATTACAAGATATTGAAATACAGTAGGATATGACCCTCTATTGTTAAAATAAAATTTGTTTTCAAAACTATTGATATGAAAGTAAATAAAAAAGTATTTCTACTGGAGTTCCAGTTCTTACATGCACAGATAAATTCCAAATAACAGGTGTTTACATCTTCAATTTATAGATGGCAATTCATAGAAAACAGGCAAGTTTTCTCAGGAAGATACTGTCTTTGTCAACAGGACAAAAGACGTCTTCAGAAAGAAA